TAGCGGATGCTGCAGTGCCACACTTAGAAGCTGTAACCCAGGTGGCAAAAGAGGCTCACAATGAATTCCCCTGAAGACAGCAATGATCACCTGTCTTTGACAATTCCCAGGATTTTGGTCTGTGTGGTACTGAGTTTGGCATTTGTCATCGGGGTCCCCGGGAACTCCTTTGTTGTCTGGACCATTTGTAGAAGAATGAAGCAACGGCCTTCAACGGTCATCCTGATCCTACACCTGGCCATCGCAGACCTCCTGGTTCTCGTGACCATGCCGATCTGGATTTATTCCTTCGCCAACACTTGGCTCTTCCAAATTGGCACTTGCAAAGCCCTGGTGTTTGCTGTCTATTGTAGCATGTACGCCAGCATTTTCCTGATCACAGCCTTGAGCCTCGAACGGTTTGTGGCTGTCTTTTACCCCTTTGCTGTCCAACGGTGGAAGAAGAAGACCATCACCCACCTGGTGGTGCTCATCATTTGGTTGCTCTCCGTTGCTTTTGGAGCAACCATAATCCCCTTTCAGGAGATTGACGATACGGAGGTGGGTCTCCAATGTACAGCTCGTATATATGACACAAACTCTCAGCAGGTTGCCTGTCTCCTGGTGGAGACCACTGTAGGTTTCATCATCCCCTTTGCTATCATCTCCATCTGCTACATCTGTATTGGCAGGAGGATCAGAGAAATGGCTCGTCCACCCAAGCAAAGATCTGCAAAGCTGATTGCTTCGGTGGTCATGGCTTTTGGCCTTTGCTGGTTTCCTCATCACATCTTTAACCTGATAAGCATCGCTTCAGCTCTGATGGAACATTCCCATCCAGAAATGGCTGATGCTCTGGAGAAGATTTCCGCCATCGGGGTCTACATTGCAGGATCGGTGGCGTTTATGAGCAGCTGCATCAACCCTCTCCTTTACGCCTTTGCGGCCAGGAACATCCGCAGCAGTGTGAGATTGACAAAGTTGTCCAGGCTCTTGGAGCAAATGAGCCCTTTGGCCAAGCAAGAATCTGCAAAAGAAGCACCTTTGCCAAATGGAAAAGAGGAGACTTGGACAAACTCAGAGATAATCTGATGCAAGCGGTGGGAGAAAAAGGAGGTTTTGCATCCACAGCCAGTCTTTTATGCCTTGCTGCCAGGAACCCTCAAAGCCCTAATGCATCTGAGGAAGTAGACCGAAGTCTACAAAAGCTCCTGCTGCCAACTTCTTTCTTCAAAAGTGCTACAAGATCTCTCTACGTACTGATTCTACAGACTAACACAGCTATATCTTTGAATTCTTCACAGCCTTGTGAGATTTACCAGCCATATGAGATTTGCAGTGATTGACTTTTTAGATTAGCTTTCTTTTGCTTCTGTTCAAAGTGCTGGATATGACATATAAAGACATCTAAGGCTCAGAGCCACAATAGATGAAGGTCCTTAATTCTCCCTTATGAGCCTGTCTGGGTTATGAGGTCAAGGGGGACCTTTCTCTCCATCGGTCCGGTAGGACCATAGGAAAAGGTATTCTCAGTGGCATCTCCCAGGATTTGAAACTCCTTTTTTTAGAAAGGCTAAGCTGGTCTCTTCTATGGTGTCCTTCTGGAAGCAAAGACTTCTTTTCACAGATCTTTACAAACTAACTGCTTATTTTTTGGGGGGGGGGGGCATTTAATAATGTATTGCTAGTATTGTCTTTTTTTCTTCACTTTTAACGGTTCTGTTTTAACAACTGCTTTTAGTTCTATTCATTACAAAACAGAAGCAATTAAAATAGCTCTTAATTTTTTTTATTTCTAAAGTTGTATTTAATTCTATTGGTAGATGTTTTAACTTCCATATGTTTTCAGCAATGCACCTTTTTTGGGTCATTTTAATTTTTGTAAGCCACTTTCAGTCTCAGGGCTGGGGAAAAACATTTACAATCATTTCTGCTTGTGGTTATGTAAGAACTGTTCATGTTTTTCTCCCATCTGCTCTGTACCTAACAAGGAAACTTGATCCAACATTCAAAATACAATATTGTGGTAATACTTTTCTTAGACCAAGGAGCAAAAATCGTGACACTTGCTGGCATCTTCATCAGGGAAAGATGGTGGAAAATGGTGAATAGGTGAAATCAGAATCTGGACTGTGAAATCACTAAGGATGACAGACTAGGCTGAATACCTCACCAAACTACAAATCCCAGGATCTATTCCATAGGATAGAGTCACAGCAATCAAAGAGGTGTCAAACTGCTTTAATTCTGCAGTGGAGATGCATCCTTTCCTATGATGACAGATCTACTCATCCATTTCCTGAAAATTGCCTCACCCGCCTTCCAAATAAGTTTTTAAAAATTGCAAAAAGGAGTTGCTTCACATCATGAATCAAAACCAGAACTGAAAAAGCATTAAGAAATGCTCTCTCATTTATTCTGCAGAAGGTG